CGCTACGCGGATTTTATTGCATACTGCAAACCATTTTAACACCATGAAATTGTGTGCACATTGACTTTATGTTTCTATCAAAGTTTGCGTTTGTATTATGTATAATTAGCAGAATCTATTTCACACGATAAGATATAAAGTTTTGACTAGAGAAGGCTTTACTAAACGTAATTCATATTTGTTGGGACCACCGTCCTTTAATTTTTTTGTCCGATTAATTTCCGATATAAACAAGCCAAATTCAAGTGTGGGTTTTGTCTTATCTTTGAAGTTGATGACTCTATTTGGACTGGGTTTATCGTTTTATATCCGATTCATATTTCCTCTACATAAAGGTTCATAGTCGTGTGTTGATCAGTAACTATGGAGCGTGTAATACACACTTCCAAGTGTCAAGCACGTTTTTCCAATGACTGAAAATCAGGTTTGTTAATCAATTTTTTTTAATACTGATAATTTGAATTTGAGAATGAAATTGAAAAAAAAATCTATTGGTGTTAAGCAAATTGATTAAAAAACCTGATTTTCAGTAATTAGGAAAAACCTGCTAGATCCCTAGGCACTTTTGATGTGTGTAGTAGCAGAAAAGCTACTTGTGACAGGTTTCATCAAGAGAAGTCCTGCCACGGTTATTTCTGCCGTTAAGCAGTGACGTGAGCGTTACTGCGTTTCGGTTTGAAATTGTAAAATTACTGGTGAAATTACAGGCACTTGGGATTTTTCAACCTACGTCTCAGGGTAACGGGCGTAGTTTCAGTGCCCCTCAGATGTTTATAGATTTAAAATTCTGAGTGGCATTGCAACTGTAATGGACAGGCGTGTCTCTTGCCACCAATCGCACGACTTTTTTGTTCCATCACACCACAACCAGTGTATATGAAAACAGTCGAAGTCAGTAGAATAGTCCAGTTCTTTAATACTGTTGGTCTTGGCTTCGAATTGTAATTAGTAGTGACTACAATAGAGCAATTGACGATGCGTCGTGTTGTAAAGATCCAAAAATGAAGCGTATCTGCTAATAATAATAATAGTGAAAATGATTTAGAGTAGAACCCCGAAAGTCTTGAAATCTTTAACCCAGTTTTTACCCCAAAAAACTTAAAAAAAAGCAATTAAATTAACCGACTCCAAAAAAATAAGGTTATGTTCGACTGTATGTATTTTTATGTAAGTACACCGATTTCGCCATCAATTGTGGACCGATTTTGAAAAGACTTTTTTGTTTGAAAGAGTATACTCTCGAGGTGGTTCCATTCTCACCAAGTCAGAATCTGATGAGGGGATGACATCATCGAAAATTTGTTGAAAATTGAGCGAAATGCTCATATTTCATAGGCACGCACAAAGTGTTTATTGAACTGTCACTTGGATGGACGTGGACATATTATGTTACTTACCTGCCAAATTTACTAAAAATGGATAAATAAACATACTTAAAAAAAAATTCAACTAACTTCAAAAACCACAAAAAGTCACTATATTAAAAAGCGGAAAATAACAAAATTCAGATTTAATACAAGCGACAACAACACGCGCAGTACCTTTTATACCTTTTATTTTTGTCTTATTTCGTTTTCGTTATTATAATTATTTAATCAATCCACACTTATGGTTTGTTTACACAATTGCAACATAATAATCTTGTCCAAACCTGTTTACCTATATTTTTAATAAAATATTATTATTGGTAGGTACGTGTCACTTAGTCTACCTACCGAGTAAGTATGAAGCTTAGCTGATTCATAGTACCATCTTCCAAATCATAAATGTATAGCCTACAGCTGTTAAATTTTGTTATAATGCCAATTTTAAAGTCACGTGTCCATACGACTGAAAGATTTTCCGCTTGGTATAGCAAAATAAAGATGACATGATCGAGCAAACGCTTCTAAGGTACATTGTCATTTTATTTCAATGTTCCACTCACTTCATTTGAGACGATCGAGCTGGATAGTCGCTGCGTCTCATGATTAATTCAAACGTTGGCACACACTGCTACTGACGCACCGCCACCTTTTATTTGGCCCAACTCACAAACACGTACAGACAACTCGTAATAAAATAACAACACTTAATGAATATGCCACGCTTGATTAACACGTGCTTCCAGGTAATGCGTAAAGTGTAGTCGCGTGTTTTGCCATAAGCTTCAAACATGTGGGAACATATAGTTCCAAATAGACATCGAGTATATAACCAGAACCAGAGACGAAATGTCATTTAATTTGTTTGAAAACTCTCCGCCATATCATTACCGTGACAACTGCGCTCCGATTGGCCAGCCCGAATTCGAAACTATTGACGGGTGTCGTCAATTGTTTCGCTTCAAATGGACAAGTTAACTTGAGCTTTGCTATGATGGACGGTAATTGCAAAATTACATATTTAATATTTAATTACCGATGAAATGTGATTCCGTTTGTTTTGTAATAAGATGTTTTGCTGTTTTTCCCACACCACCGAATGGAACAGTACGGCATTGTTAGAGAAATTATCTTTATTACAATAAATACAGAATATTTTTTGGAATATACAGAGACGTACACACAGGTCAGTAGTTGGCCTGTCTGTATTTCAGAGCAAACGGGAGTTGATATTTATAAGAGCTGTATTGCTAATGTGTTACCAGGAATATATGGCCCTTATTTCGTCTCTATTTCTGGTTATATACTCGATGCAAATTGAAGATAATGGAATTTGTAAATAAAACGCCGTAGAAGCGCTGCAGTCGCGCGTACGGGTGTTTTTGAAGCGCAACTAAATTTTAAGTGCTGAGTCGTCATTGAACTCAGTTCAGTGATGGACTCGTGACAAGGCAGTTTGCTTATTATAATATGATTTTACTTATGTTCGGCTTAAAACCAAAAGGTTGTTTACGGAGATACCCGAACTGTGTTAATAAATTTGTGGTAATAAATTTTCGATAAATCCCAAGCCTTTTTCTTTTCCAGTCGATTGGATTGATTGCTACCCCATACTACAGGGTATAGTTTAACATTATCGATAAAGTCACCAATTTTATCTTGATCCTTCCTGACCTAGCAAAACAATACACACGTGCACCTTTTCACTAGCTGCAATTGAAATGCGACTGATTTGTGTCTAGGAAATCTATGAAAATTTATGGTACCGCTATTTATGGTAGCGCGTCTGCTAGAGTTTAATTTGAACGCACCTTTATTTAGACTTTTTTTACGCACACACTCATAGCATTGGAAAAAATGAAGAGAACAGTAACCGTTATGTGAATTAACAGGAATTATTTAGATGTGCTTGCTCAAGTGAGATGGAGGTCAAATTTTAGTGCAATATTTTATTTAAAAAAAAGTAGATAGCTCTAATAACAATACTCTATTTTGAATAATAAAAGACTTATATGCAATGGTTATATAAGTCTCATATTATGTGTTAGAAAATAAATACACAAAAGGCGTGAATTTATTCTAGAGTAAATAAAACTGATAATTTAAAAATTTATCATACATTCATTCATACATAACGATAAGCAGATTTAACTAGGTATATTTGTCAATAATAATATAAGTAAAAAAATTCAAAAACCTTAAATTGTGCTGCATGATATTATTATCATTGAACATTAACGAAAAAAAAAATTGGATGCTAACAAATTGTTCACTGTAATTTAATAGTATTTCGTTGTGATAATCTTTTGGCAGCTGTTGAAATAAAATATTGATTTTACAATCAAGTCTCATATTATGTGTTAGAAAATAAACACACAAAAGGCGTGAATTTATTCTAGAGTAAATAAAACTGATAATTAAAAAAATTATCATACATTCATTCCTACGATATGCAGATTACTAGGTATATTTGTCAATAATAATATAAGTAAAAAAATTCACAAACCTTACATTGTGCTGCATGATATTATTATCATTGAACATTAACGAAAAAAAAATCTGGATGCTAACAAATTGTTCACTGTAATTTAATAGTAGTTCGTTGTGATAATGTCTTTTGGCAGCTGTTGAAATAAAATATTGATTGTAATTTGTAGCATTACAATATATTTTTCACCTCACTAGCTCGGAAAGGCTTTTTTCTTATTAGAAATCTGCGCGCAAAAGCGTTTTTTGCACGCTAGCGGAAAAGGTTTTTGAAATTCGGCATTTTACTTTTTCTTTCGATGAAAAAAAAATACTGACACGTTCAATTACGTCATTTGTCGTACATCATTTATTTATGTAATGTAAATCCGTTGGTATATTTTATTATTTTTATACTTGACATTAAATTGACAATGTTAACTGCTTGTGTTTATTAAATTATTTTAATTCGTGAAAGAACTAAAATAATTTCAGTAATCACTTAATCACACAAAATAAAAGTACAAGCAAGAATAGAAATTGATGAAGTTTAAATTCAGAAAGCATCCGAAGATTAACTTTTTGTTTTATTAAAAAAAACTAATGTTTTAAAGTTGAACTGTTTTTCTTCCATCTACCATTTTGCGAGGTGGAAAATTGTCTGTTTCGCTCGGCAACAAAATTGTTTTGCGTCTCGTGTCTTGAAACCCTCGCTACGCTCAGGAATCTACTTTTGGGCCACTCGCTTCCCTCGTGGTTCAATCTTAGCTTCTAGCGAAGGTTTCGATACAAGCACTCGCTTCATACAACAACTTTGCAGCCTTGCATAACAAATAACTATTGTCAATAAAGATTGTATTCGAGAGAGCAACTAAGTTTATTGGTTATGCAATAATGACCGTTGTCCACTTAATGATTTAAAAATAGTCATATTATGAGCTCAACGTGTTGCTGGTAAATGACTATTTGGACGTACATAATGAGAAACAATTATGAAAACATAATTAAAGCTCTTAACTAAATTAGTAGCGAAATGAAAAATGATTCGGTGGTGTTTGCTTATTTCGGTTTTACTTTTGTTGGTTGAGACACGGACAAAAATTGATACTCTAGTGTATGGCGGAAGTCGTATTAGCTACGATGAGCATAAATATTTGATTTACATTCTAGCTATGGACACAAAAGGTTTATGTAGTGGATCAATTCTCAACAGCATGACGATCCTCACTGCGGCCCATTGTTTCAACAAGTTTTCTCGCACGTTTGCTATAAAGCACTACAATAACAAACACTTTGACAAAATCGCGGATGTTACACAATATGGTGTCATAAAACACCCTGAATATCGTTCAAAATTAATGAACAGAGACGTCGACTTGGCGATTATGAAGACCGAGGAAAATATGGAGTTTAATGAGAACGTTCAGCCTATAGCTTTAGCGTTTTCCCGCGGAGTAAAAATTTTTGATAGAGCTGTAATTGTGGGTTTTGGCAGAGCAGACCCTACTGGAAAGCCTAGTGGTAGAGAAGGTTATGTGACCGTCACAAGGTGTCCGAGCAAATATCTGAACGTGATATGCACTTCAGGTTACGTAAGAGCTGCATCTGGCGACTCAGGAGGTGCGCTAGTTTATCGTAACCAGTTAGTGGGCGTCACCTCCGGAAGCTGCTTGCGCGCCGAAAATTTAATAATAAGCGAACCCTGCCTTACAGTCTACGCTAATGTCACAGCCAACATGGACTGGATAAAGTCGCATCTTGACGATCTTACAACAACGGAGATCTCTATCGCCACAACAGATAACCCCAGAACATCATCATTACCATCGCCAAGCAAATCGGAGTGTCTACAAGAACCGAACAGTTATTCACCGACGCTAAAGACAACCACAGTTAAGTCATCGACTATATACCGTATTGGTGAAAAAAGTGTATATTCATATTTACCTATACATTACGATGAAGAAGATATGATCAGAACAACATTTACTTACATTTTTATATTATGAAAAATTTTTAATCTAATTTTCTACAACCAAATATTGTGTGACATTTTTAAGTGCAAACCAGGAGCTCACCACATGATTTTTGTGACTTTTAATTTATACAATTTTAGTATACCAGATTATAAATATATACGTTACAAAACAATACAAACTGTCATTTCTCAAATTGCAAATTGATACGCTGTCTAAATGCGGTAAGGTACAATTTTCAACAAATAATTATGATAGTTTGTGTGATACATCATACTTAGAAATAAATATTATATATTGTGAACATTTTAAACTACTTTTTCTTGCTTAACTAAGACCTGAAATGGTGAACAGCCAATTAAAACATATAATGTCATTAAACACGTACTGGTTTTATTCTGTAATGATTAATGATTAAATTTAATTGAATTCGAATCACAAATTGCATGGAAACTTAGAAAAGCATTTTGCTTCTCATACGGGACAACAATTTCAAATTGTTACAAATGTATTGCCAATACCCATATCAATAATATTGCACTTGATGATCTCGATTTGCACTGTGGGTAAGGGATGAGGAGAGTAGGACCATTAACAAAAATGACGGTTTCCGTCGAGTCACCGCCGCGGAATCTCATGATTAAGGATCCCGAATTGGTTCGAAACATGTCGAGAAAAAATTCGACTTAAATCGGTGAGTTGTCTGTGTCTCATGGTGGTTTTCTATTTAAAAGAGTGGGATCAATTTTGGAATATAACTTTTCGCAATTGGTTCTGGTATTTAGTATTCTAAATATAATAATCAGGAGTCCGTTCTATTCTAGTGCGGTAGAACTGCGTCTGTGGCCGAACAGTTACCATTCCCAGTTCAAGTTCGATTCCTGGGCCGGGAGAAATATTTGTACCTATGGCCTACATTTATTTCTCTCGTGAGTTTGGGTGTAATTTGTGGTTGTCTATGTGTGTGGTCATGGCACCCGCGACACAGGGTTTCTCTAGTGCAGGGCTATGTTGAGTGTCTGCGTTATTATTATTATTATTAACTAATAGTACAGGGAATTCCCTAGTTTGAAACCAGATAATTGAGTGTGGTTGTCTTGCAACATTCATTGTTAGAAAGACATATGAAACGTTTATTCAGCACAAATACAAGCAGATATAAACATTTACAATCACTTCACAAGGTATAGCATAAAAGGACATAGAACTTAAATTAGTACATATTGATTTAAACACATATTTGTTAGTATATAATTAGTATACAGACATTAACACGGTTATAATTGCTATACGAATAAAGCTCCTTGTGAAGAGTTCGTCCAGGGAAGTACTGCCACCTTACATCTTTCTGTCGTAAGCAGTAATGCTCTGAACGACACTGCAACTATTATGGACAGCATGTCGCTTACCACCAGGTGCACGGCTTGTCCGTCCCATCACTAGGTGTCTTAAAAAATAATAATAAGGAAAGACTAGCAATCAACATAGGTAAAACATAATATGGATGAAGTCCAAGGTTGAAGGTTTTTGTTTTATTAATTTTTGTTTAATGTTCGAAATCAGAGCCTTAATTTTTTGTCATGAATTTTATTCAGGCACGTTAAACAGACAATAACACGACATGAATCGTATATATCAGGGAGATGTGTCGTTATACTAGCTATAATTACAGTTGTCTGCAAAAATATGAATTATAAAAATGGCCGACAGCGGGTGTCTACTACGGGCAATTGATTATCTAAGATCTATGAAAAAAAAACTCAGTAACGCGAGTATCTTCCGCGCCGTGATTAAGGCATACGTGCTTGTTAATATGAGCGGAGCGGATAAGTTAAGTTTGTTCTCAAAGTACATTTCTATTGTTTATTTTCGTAGATTGTCCTGCCTGTTACAAAGGTTTCAACTTTTCAATCCAAACTAATATTATAAATGCGAAGTAACCCTTATCTGTTTCATTTTCACGCTCAAACCGCTGTACCAATGATGAGTTTTGGTGTAGAGATAATGGGTTCTAGGAGAAAAACATAGACATTTTGTCACAAAAATAAATTGTAAAGGGTGTGAAATAGAGGACAAAAATTTGTATGGAGAACTACGCAGACGAAGACGCAGGCACTAGCTAGTAAACAATAGAAATGACAAGAATTCTTTCTTGATAATACGGCCAGTTTGACGAGTAGATTTTTAATAACACATAAACGTTTTTTTATAATATCAAGTGACGGGACGAACAAGTCGTGTGCCTGATGGTAAGTTACACGCCTGTCCATAACAGTGGCAGTGCCACTCAGAGCTTTAAATCGCAAAGATCTGAGGGGCATAGCCACTGCGCCCGTCACCCTGAGACATAGGTGTCAACCTATGTCCCTTGTGCCTGTAATTTCACCAGCGCCCTGCAAAGCCGGAATGCATGCTGACATTACAGCTTGGCGGCAGAAATAGATAAGGTGGCAGTACTTCTTCCTGGACGAACTCTCTCACAAGGAGCTCTACTGTATATCAGTATAATAATATTAAATGGATATTGTACGCGTGTTGAAAAAGAGTCACGGAATTTTCGTTCATAACGCAAATATATTGAAACGAATCTTTTTACAATTGATTGAATGAATGTCAGATAAAACTTTACAATAACTTTGTAGGTATTAAAGTTACGGTAATCAATTTCATAAGTACATAGTTACAACCATATAAAGATATAGCATATTGGTATAACTTATATATTGCTAGAGAAAATAAAAAAATATGTAGTCACTAACGAAAATAACGGATAACTGACGTATTTAAGTCGCATGTCGAGTAAAAATTCGACTTTAATACGTGAGTTATTGTTATTTTCGTTAATATGTAGTTACTGTTAATAAGGTTAAAATCAAGATTATGTTTGAATATTTTAAGACATTTGCTTTTTATACAAAAAAATGCCCTCGGCTTTTCTTCTTTGTTATAAGTTAAGCCTTACAGGTTGTTATTATAGTAAAGACTGTTCTTTATGAACTTTTTTGAAATTATTAGAATTGAATTTAGTGTATAAGTTGTGGTTTGTAATACTAAGCGCCGTTTTAAATCGCTACATCGAGTAAATGTAAACATACTCTAACTTTTTGTTCCACCTGTGCATTGACTGGAACGGCACGAAATGAAAGTTCGGAGTAACCAATCAGATTGCTGGACCTAAAACGCGCAAGTAAAGTTTTCCTTCGTGGTTGTATATAAGTCAGCTAGACGCTGATGTTGACGGGGAGTCCAATGCTGCCGAAAAGGCCGGCCGCGGCGGGGGGCCGGACATTATCCCCGTCGATTATTCTGGGACAGTATCCTGTCTCTGTAGAGTGGCCTCTGGCTTCGTGTATCCCCTTGTTAAATTAACTTCTCTTAGTTTAACTGTATGTATGCGTTAAGATTAGGGACCCTCTTCCATACCGTTACCGGTCGGCAGCATACTTGACTTCCTTTTATCGATGATTTACTGTAAATTTGTAAACAAATTACACTTGAAATCATCATACTGATTTAACTCTACTGTTCATTCGTAGGGCAGATTCCCCTGAGAAGAATGAGCAAGAAACTTTAGGGATTGCTCTTTATAAATATACGTTTGAATACATTTATTATTACAATATTTCATTTAAATATTTTAGATCGAGACTACCTACATGAGCAAAACGGGTCACTGCTTCGAATTTTTGTTATCCAAGTACGCAGAAGCTGTATAACATTTAGTATGAAGTCTTTCTTTCAATATAATTCTAAATCTTGTAAATGGCAAATTTTGAATGTCAATCGGAATATTATTATTCTAATCTTATATAAAATATAATAATCTTATTATTATAAACTCTCAAATTCTTTTGCGGGGCAATGTAGGTATACGCTTCTCTATGAAGACGACTGTCAAGAACAGCTACAGAGTTTATTTTTATTCCTCATATTAATGTTATATCACTATTTTTCATAAAAAATTATTATTTTTGTTAAATCAACTTTTTTTTATTACAACATAATTATAGTAGTCCTTTCACAAACTATACATACTTACTTACAGCTGTATAAATAATACACACATATGTATATATATAGATCACGTCCTTTGCCCATCGAGCGCCTTACATTTCCGAGGATCCTGACACACATCTTTAATAAATAATATACACACTGTATACATTACGCAAATGATTACTTGTTTATAATCAGTGTTTTTATGAACAATACGGCGAATAAGGTCGCCAATAATAAATGTATTTAAGTATAATAATTTATGCTGTCAGTGTTAACGCCAATTACAGATTTTCGGTATTATTTGTATCATTTCATCGTAATAATCAGATTGTGTCGCATTGACTAACAGATAAGTTAGTATTAGACAACATGCAATAAAAAAAGAAAAAGAAACTCGACTTAACACTTGTGTCATAAAACTACCAAGTTACTATAAGAGCTACAATAAACACTACACCACACTCGCTAGTAGTAGATCATGGCCTCTGATATGATTTGGCGCCAGCGCGCCCTATCTTGTACGATCTCCTCCGAGTTCCCTGCGTGCAGGGTGCTGAGATCTGTCTTCATTTCGTCCCTCTGTCCAACCGGTGCGAAGTCCCATGTAGGGCCTTTTCACCGCCGTAAGAGCTGGCATCCTTTCGAAGTGTGCGAGCCAACGGAGTCTTGCAGACATGATTGCTCCGATGATATTGGGCTCAGACAATTGAAGACATTAATGATGTTAGAACATCATTGAGGAGTCAACATTGAGGAGTATCTGATTACAAAAACAATACATTCATCAGATTTGAATAATGTTCCAACTGTAACTTTTACTGTAAGTTTTAATAGTTTGACAGATGACATAGTGTAATATTTATAGTCATTCACATTAGGGGACAATTTTACTAACATAAAACACGAATAGTAAAACTACAACTTATTTTGCATTATTAATATTTGTAATATATTACTTGATTAAATGTCTATTGAGATGTTTGTTATAGGTGAACAGAACCTATGCGCCGTAAACGTTTAGGGCGCAGGTGGCTGGCCTACGCCCGCCAACTGCGGCCCTGACAGTGAACCCTGGGTGGCAAAACGGTGGCTTTGTCACTCAGTGGGCAAGGGTTCACGGGTTGGTTGGCATGCCAAATATTCCCGACATGCCACTAACGACGGAGTAGAGAAAATCTCCCAGAGGTGGGTCCGCAGTCGCGGACAACCGCAGGCGGGGCCGTGGATCGTAAACCACGTGGCCACAGCCCCGTCTCATGCGGAGTGTGGTAATACTCGGGGGTTTTTAGTGAGTAGGAGTCTCACATAACCACCGCGCC